GTCATTACCTAGCATTTAGCAGAAGGAAGCCCTGATATAAGAATAGTTAAATAAATTGAGTTTAAAAATTCAGATACATATGAATGGAGTGAGAATCTTGGCATTTTACAACTAATATTTAAGTGCTTTTCCTATTGGACAAGAAACTAGTATATCCAAATTTTATTGTTTGGTGTTTTTCAGTATAAAGAAGTGTTACTATGCAAATAAAAGCTCGCACATTTTATTTATACTAGATGCTGTACTAGATGAAAAGAGCATTTACATGAGAATGTCCACAGTTCTAAAAAGTTCAATCCTTCTATTGTCTCAGGAGAAATTCTTATAAATAGAGGCTAGATGTTCAAACAAGATATTTGCCTCTAGAAGGATGTTTTTTAAAACTGAATTTCATTAATACCTGAAAAGAAAAACAAAACACTGCTCAACATGTATTTGAGGAAATCCAAAAACAGCCTGTAGTTGTGTAGGCTCAGAGAAGTTTCCCTAGAGAGGACTCACTGCAGTTGACAAATGCATGAATAATTACTGCAAAAATACAGCCCCATATGTCACAGTTATCTTGCTCTAAATGAGAGAAAATCCATTTTTGAGTGGATTGGGTTTTCAGCTCCACCAACGATATTTATTCAAAACTTTAGTCTTTCCATTACATTGCTTTCTCCTGTGGAAATATAGCACACCTTATTCTAACAGAGAAGAAAGAGGAAAGGATGCTGAACTCTGGTCATGAATATTTTATTGTGCATAGAGAGAGAGATCACAGGGGGGCCAGATGAGTAGTAGGAAACAAATGTGATGTTGTTTTCAAATTCTCAGAGGAGGTTTATATGAAACTGTCTTTGTTAGCTTGTTTTCTGCCTGGCTTCTACACTGTCAAACCTGATAATGAAATCTTTTGTATATCTGGAGCTTACCTATTAGGTGGGGAGTGTAGCATCTACCTGAAAGTATAAAATTATCCATGTTATGTGGTACACACATAAGAAAAACTTTTGTAAATGCCACAGAGGTGAGGACCTATCTTCAAGAAGAATAATCCATATTAATTTCTGTTGGGGATGTTCTATCTTCAAAAAAAAAAAAAACAGGTTGAAAAATAAGTTGAGTATTACATTTTCTCCATACAATTCATTTGTTTTCTCTTCTTCCCCTAATACCTCCAAGATATTAGAAGACTTTCATCTTTCATAATGTCATAACCCACTGGAGTTCATTTGGCCAGAAGCCAGTGCTAATGGAGCCAAGGTGTTAAGCTTGTGCTCTTCAAGAAAAATTGAGGGGCTGGGGATCTTTAAGAAAAATCTAGGGGCTGGAGATTTAGTTCAGTGGCACAGCGCCTGCCTGGCAAGTGCAAGGTCGTGAGTTCGATTCCTGGTACTGGAAGAAAAAAACAAACAAACAAAAAAAAGAAAAATTGAAATCCTGTTTTCCTGACATAATGGCACAGAACACATATCAAACCCACCATTTGCAAATTATCTTCTCTAAGTACAAAGGGAAGTGGACAGAAAGGTGAATGATATAGTAGACATTACCGGATTTCTGAGTTGATGAGATCCAAGTCACCTTGCCTCTGAACCACCTTTGAATGTGTCTGTGTGAATGCTTGAAGTCAAGAAGGAAATCAAGAAAGCATGCAGGAACTACAACTATTTGTGCTAACATAGTTGATGGTAAATTTTTGTTCTATTTTGTGCAAAGTAGAATTTCAAGGTGTAGTACTTTACCAATGAGCCCAATAATACATCCATATCTCAGACTCAGGTACTACTTGTAATGAGTTTTTATATTTTTTGAACATGTAATGAAAATGATAATCTCTGTGCCACGAACTGGTCTATGCACCCCATATTGAGGGGTCAAGTAACCTGAGAATCTATGAAAAAGAATGAAACACAATGGCTTAACTTATGTGAAAACTTAGTTATGTCTCTATGATGGGTGTGTCTCTATTTTTCTAATACACACAACCACCCTACAGATGTTTATCTTTCTTATTCAAAATGGGAGTGAGCTAGGATTCTTTTATTCTAAATTGTTTTAAAGTGGCTGGCCACTGATTTTTGGTTTAAAGAACTAAATTCAATGACTAAAAGACTATAGGGTTTGGTTGTACTTAGTTAAAACTTTAGCTGCCATTTTTTACTATTTACTATTGGACAGTTACTTCACATAGGCCATTTCTGTTTTATCTGATAGACCATTCCATCTTGTGAAAAATGGTATATGTCTCCATTTTTCAGATGAGGCAATAATCTTAGGGAGGCCAGGCACCAGCACTCCGGAAGTTGAGGCAGGAGGATCATTGCGAGGTTTGAGACCAGCCTGAGCTACAAAGTGATCTCAAGACAGCCTGAACTGCATAGTGAGACCCTGTCTCAAAAAGACAAAGAAATAATAATACTCTTAGGGAATAGTGCAGCTACTACAAAGTGAACAAATGATAACAAAGCCAAGCTCTCCCTTTTGAAGGTTATAAATGCAAATATTAAATTTAATTGGCATCAGTACCTCACATTAAGATGTACATTAATAACAGGTTCTGAATGGTTTAGCTCTTATCTGAATATAGTATACTAAAAGTATACTGACATTTTTTAAGTCAGTAATGGTACTATAGATTTTTTACAGATATATAGATAAAGATTTCTTAATGCTCCTTCAAAAAGAAAGAGATTTGAAAGGAGAGGTTTTAGTGGTCATCTGACTATGTGTTAAAGAAAGCTTATGGTGCTTGATATTTCTGTGATTATCTGGTTATTTGCAGAGTAAATAGGAAGTCTTAATACTAGTTCTTAGGAAAAACTCAAACTGTAATATAATGGTATTAATAAAGAAAAAGTAGGGGCTAGGGATTTAGCTCAGCGGCACAGTGCCTTCCTGGCAAGCGCGAGGTCATGAGTTCGATTCCCAGTACCAGGAAAAAAAAAAAAAATAAGTAAAGTGTGTTTAATTAATGTTATTTTCCTGGGTGAAAAAGCATTACTCTTGCAAAATATATTTAAATTATCTTATTGTTGTGCAGTAAATCTATATGATTATGTCAGTCCTACGACTATTCCATGACAAAGTGAATTGAATCGATAATCTCAGATATATGAGGAGACTATTTTAAGACTCTGATTGGAAATTATGTCTATCTGTATTTTATTCAATTTTGAATTAAATTGAAAGCACATAAGCTTTTAGAACCATCCCCTTCCCTCCTTCCTTCCTTCCTTCCTTCCTTCCTTCCTTCCTTCCTTCTTTCCTTCCTTCATCTTTACTTCTTTTTTGTGCTTGGGGTAGAATTCAAGGCCTCACTACATCCCCAGGGCCTTTCTAGAATATTTTGTGACCTATGCAAAGCATTACTTTTTAGCAAGTTCTACTATGCTTAGAAATGATAGTTTAACACATAGGACATATGTATGAGAAGAAAGTTTAGTAAGAAATTACATTCCATGAACTACAAATAAATCAAGGTTGAATTCGCACGGGGGGTAGGAGACATAAAAAGAATTAAGATGTGTTATGTGCATGTATGAATTCCCATTATGAATGCAATTATTACATACATCAAACATATTGTAATATAAATAAAAATTTTAAAAGATAGAAAAATTGAGACATGAACTTAATTGGAAAATCTTTGCAACAGATCTAAGATATACGTTTACATTCCTAAGGGAATTTTAAACATTTTTCAGATACAATAGATCTTTTCTTTCTTTATATCACAAATTACTGGCATTTTAACAAAGGAAAAAAATATATATATAAGCCTGCGAAGTATGTGCTTGTGTACCTACAGTTCATAAATGTGTATAATGGAACAAAAGAAAGTATTTATTACCTGAAGAGAAAAATGAAAAATGAATCAGTCTTCTGGGAATAGTTTAGACAGACCTGTAATGGAGAAGATGGAATGTGAACCTATAATTATGTTGAGGAAGACTTTGGATTGTCTGAGAGTTGAACAATGATTAGTACCAAGCGGAAAACCTGGAATCTAGAATATGTTTGTGTTAAAGAATAAGAAAGAATAAATGATTTTTATTCCTAGATCTTTCATAAAGAGTATGGCATTCATATTTAGTCCCTTCCTACCCTTCTATAGTATTTGTCGTTGCTCATCTAAAGGGAAATAGCGTGCTAAACATAAGCCTGGTTAAGAACGTGGAGGATCTGCATTTAACTCTGATTCAGCCAATGTATATATGGTTGATCCTCATTATTTGTGGGTTTCTTGTTTACGCATTCACCTTTTCATGTTCTTTTAAAAATTTTTTTGCCTTGCGTTAGTAACTTTGTTGTTCATAGTACTGAAATACTGTCTAGTATTCTTATGTACCAGAAGGCTGGGATGCGCCTTATGGAGAGAAGATATAGTTTAGATAAGCTTTGCACAAGTGTGAGTTACAGCGCTATCCCTTGCAAATTCAGTGTTGATGAATCAACAGTGCATGCTACGTAAGGTGTCTTTCAAGAGGTAAATAAAACAAGCTTCTCCACTGACTGGATGATGAACATAGTGGACACAGGAATTTGCAGAAACCTAACTCTGCATTTCTTCTAGGAACGAGGCTTCAGTATTTGCTAATTCAGTACTTGCAATGACTGTAGTACATGATGACTACAAATCATGAGAAAATATGTTAACAATATACAATTATCAGTTATTGAGCCAGGCCTCAGAGATTCAGGAACGAAGGACTTGCCGTCTACTGGACAGATGGATTCACGACGGAATGTTTGCATAAAGGAAGTGCTGTAGAGTAGATGCAGGCAAGGTGCTAAGAGTGTGTGTGCGTGGGGGGGAGTGGTTAATGCCACCCAGGGGTGCCCAGGTAATAACACACAGATCTGTAGCTGCATGCTGGGAAAATGATAGACACAACACAGACAGGGTATACTGGATGTAGAAGAATATAAACTAAATGATGTTATGTATTTATTTTTAAACAGAGCATAATGTTGGTGGGGTTCTGAGTCACATTGGTACCGTGTTGTTACAGAAACACACTGTGGTGAATTCTGCCTCTTGCCAAAATGAACACTGAGGAAAAATGAAGAAAACTGAAGAGCTCCAATGAAAAAATACAGAACAGAAACAGCCACCCTCCTCTGGAGTCTTTAATTTATTCACAACGATTGTAAAAAAAAAGGTAGGAAAGTAAATTATATTTCCTTTTACCCTTTTAATTTTATTTTAAGTTATACAATACTGAATAAGCAGAAAAGTATAGAGATTTATTTCACAAATATACAGTTGTTGACTCCTGCATGCCTGCAAACTCTTTTAAGCACTAGGAATACAATGGTGAACAAAAAGAAAATGCATATCTTTGGAGGAATTGACCTTCTAGTGAAACGGTAACTACATTAATAAAAGGAAAAGAAACTGACTGTCATTACAATGCTTAGCAGGTAAAACTGGTTAATGAGATAAAGGGTGACTTGGGGCTGCTCTAACTTGAGTGTCAGAACACACCGCTCAGAATGTTTGAACTGAGAATTAAATGATGGAAGAACCACGTATGAAGATAATGCCTTTCACGAGCCAGAATCTAGATGGATGTGCTCAAGGGTTGGAAAGCAAGCCCATACTGCTTAAAGAGAGGGGGTTTGGACAGGAATGATGTAGGAGATGAAGAGGAAAAGCCTTTGAACATGGAAAGGTGCCTTGATTGTATTCCAGGGAAGGTAGACATCATTGAGAAACCATTAGGAGAGAAATGGAGGAATCTATACATGTTAAGCATCTCTAATGTAAAATCGTCATGTCAGAAATGTTCCAAAATCCCAAATTTCTTGAAAGTCAACCTGCTGCTCAAAAAGTTTCAGATTGAGGAGTGTTTTGGGGTTTTTGGTGTTTAGATTAGTGCTCCTTGAGAAAAGTAAAGTCCATGCTAATATTCCAAAATTTCAAAGAAAACTAAAATCAGAAACACTTCTGGTCTCAGCCATTTTGGATAAAGGATATTCAAGCTGTATTATATTCGCAAAAAAAAAATTCTGCCTTACTTTTGCTAACTAGTACGTGTGGGGGTTTTAGTAATGGAAAACAGCATGCCATAGGATCATCCAAGTAAGAAATGCTGGTAAGCTAGCTTAAGGATGTGGCTTTGGAAATGGGAATTTTTTGGAGCCTCTTCAGAAAATACATGAAAGTCATGTTCTTTATGAATCTCCAAACATAATTCTAATTTCCATAGGTCAGATCTGCATCCATTAGTGTATTAATTTACAATCATCACGGTAATTTATTCCACCGCTTGAGAAAATTGTTTATGGAGTATGTGTTTTTAGCCTGCTTCTGAAACATAGAGTGTGTTCATGACAAATTGTGCAAAAACAATAGAATTCTTCCCTAAAATCTCATGTTCCACTGGCGGTATCTTGTAACACTTAGAGATGTGAGTCCTCTACATGTATCTGCAACTCCTCTCCTGCTTTCTGGGTAGGCCCTGACTTCTGGGAATATTGTTCCCCAGACCACTGAAAGGCTGCCTGTGTGAGAGGTGTCCTTCTAAATAAGAAGCACATGAATTTTTTAAGGACTAGTGGCTTAAGTCAGCCAAGCATGATTTCAAAAGTAAAACTTCCCTACTATGTTATTTGTAGATAGAACACTGAAGGAAAAACTAAAATACAATTTAAAATTGGTACTTTTGAAAAAGGATGAAGGATGAATCTGAGCAAAATTTATCAAAAGAACTATCATACTCAGGGGAGAAGGGTTCATGTCAGTGTTCAAAGCCTACAGAGGACATGAGTCGGTGAGGAAAGGATGCACTAACCTTGGCAGGTAGGTCTGAATTTGCAAGAAGCCATCAGCCATTGCTGGAGCATGGACCACCTTGAAATTGGTGTTGTGATGATTTCGTCAGGATAACTTGGCTGAATAATATGTCAAGATCTCAACAAAATATGTAGTATTACTTTTCCCCTCTCATAACAGTCTAAAAAGAACCTAAACTTGAATGTTGTAGAAAACTTTCCTTCCTCCAACCCAGATCCCTCTGGGAAATCTTTGGTTATCAGAAGAAAGCCTTAGTATAGCACTTATATAGTGTCAGATAGAGTCATCCACTTGCACCAAACACACACATGTTAAGCTGTGAAGGAGGTGAAAGATGCAGTTCAGTGGGAGAAACTCAGCACCTGCAAACATCAGAGAAGTCTGAGACTAAGCAAGACTCCTAGAGTCCATTCTCCATCATGAGGGATGTGCTTCATCTTTAGATCATGAAGCACTAAAATGTATGTGTGATATCTTGGTCTCAGGAAAGCCAAGGCTCAAAGACACTGAGGATAAATACCTATACTCACAATTGAGCTATCTAAAAGCAAGCTTTATGGACATCAATCAGTATAGTTTCAAAAAAACAGAGTATACAAGCTCTGGGGGAGTTCTGGATTTTTAGCAGTACCTTAGGAATCACTAGCTACTACCTTTCACCTTCTTCATGGTCCAGCATCAATAACAAGTTTCCAGGTATCTGGCAAAATAAATACAGAGATACCCAATATTAACTACAAGTTAACTCTTCATACACTCAAAGAAATGGGTCAGAATAAAAATATCAAAGACCCAAAGCTGATATACTATATTCTGAGATTGATCCAGTTATCTATTGGATTAGATAAATTCTTGATTCACTGGAGACCATTAAAAGGATATCAAAGTTTCTAAGGGAAGTAATCCGATTCTGAAACAATAAGGACAAATAAAACAGAAAGAAGATAGTGTCTTAGTTTGATCACCCCAGAAGCAGCTGTTGAGAAAAAAATGGGATAGTAGTGTTTATTTTGGAGGTGGTATCATTTGCCTTTGTAGGGAAGTGAGTATGTGAGACAGGGAAAAGAAGAAAGACAAGAAAGGACCCTCACCACTACTGTGACTAAAAGTTGCATAATCCCGTTAGGCATTTCTGAGATACAGTATAGAATGTACCTTGAATTTACCCCCACCAAGGGCAAGGGAATTGGAGTACTTGACCAATTTATCCTATTTTCCTTGGCTAAGGGTTGCTTCCTTGGTGAAAGCAGAGGAGTGTTAACTCCCTGGATTTATGGTCTACCATACATGTAAACCAAGAGAACATCAGTAGCCAGAGGAAGCCTTCAGGTAGAGGGCCAGATAATTACCATTGGAGGACACCCTTAGATAAGCATGTCCCAAAATGATGAATGTCAAGGGGATGTAGATAGGCCACCAGTGGTTTCTACTCCAAGAAGTGACAACAATTCTGTTGATGGTTTTACAGTCACAATCATATTAATAGAGCTATTGTTTATTAAATGAGCTCTAAGCCAGGTCATATACTAAATGCTTTATATACATTTTAATCACTTAATTCTTATATATTGAGTACTCACCTTGTGCTAGGTGGGCAGAGAGAAGGAAAATTATTTCTATATCTCAACACTGAAGTTCTATAGCATACATTATTCTTGTCTTCAGTTGGGAGATGAGGAAATAAGACTGAGCAAGGTGAGCCAAATTCTCTGAAGCAGCACAGGTAGGATATCAAGTTGGAACTCAAATCCTGGTTTGTCGGCTCTCAGAACTATCTCCCAGGCAACTGGTAATTATTAATTAGCTCATCAATTCCTGATATTTTTCAGACACACATTTATTTAAAAGGTGGGTGATATTTAAATTTTGGAATATAAGAAAAATTTGCCCATGTTCTCAAGAAGCTTACACATTTTTGGAAGAGAAAGACTAGAAAAAGTTGTGTTTGAAGTATGTAGTGGAATAAGTTGAAGCTATTGAATAGGACAAGGAAAGAGTTATCACATGTTGGTGCATAGCAACTTACCCCATAACTCAATAGCGTAAAGCAATAAGCATGTATTGTTGCTTTTGAGTTCATGTGTGAGTTAGGGAATTCTACTCCTTTGGGCCAAGATTGGCTGATCTTAATAGGTTTTGTTCAATATTTGTGGTTAGCTACGGGTTACATAATATAAGATAGCTTCGCTCATGCATCTGATGATTGACGGAATGTGGCTGAGGTTACTCAATTTCCCAGCAAGTTAGTCAGGGTTCATTCTGTAGCAAATGAGTGATGTGAAACATTCAGTCAAAAGAATGAGTGAAAGAGTACACGGCTTCTTGAGGCCCAGGCCCAGGCTCAGAGCTGAATGTGACCGGAACTACTCAGTTCCCCAGCAAGCTCTCCTCTGCTCATTCAGTGGCAAGTTAAAGGTTAAAGGAAACCACAAATCCTGCCAAATTTAAGAAATAATGGAATAGACCCCATCTCTTAATGAGAGGAGTTTCTAAGTCACACTGTCAAAGGAAATTGGCTTATGAAAATGCATTGATCAGATTTTTATTACCAGGGCAAAATACCTGACACCCACAACTTAAAACAAGAGAGGTTTATTTTTGCTCATCATTTCAGAGGTTTCACTCCACAGTCAGCTGTCTCTAAGGCAGAAACAGCATAACCGAAGTGGGTGGTGGAAGAGAACTTTTCACTTCATGGCAGCCAGGAAGCAGAGAGCAGGGGAAAAGGGCCAAAGAGAGATGATAGAACTGGTGGCAAGAATATTCCCTCCTAGGACCCACCTCCTTAAGTCAGGGGCCACCTCCAAATAGAACACTCAGCTTGGAATTCATCACTGGATCGACGGTGATGCTAATGCTCATGATCCTATAAGTAGAGCTATTTTTATTTGATGAATTACAAGCCACGTATCATAAGCCAGTTACTAGTAAGTACCCCCTGATGCCATTGCTTTCCAAAAGTCCCACCTTGGAACGGGTGAGACTTTAGGGGAATGTTTTAAATCAAAACCACAGCAGAAGAAGAGCTGGACTGAAAACAACCTACCAAGAGGCAAATATCCAAATAAAAACTTACACAGTGAGTAAGTATCCCCAAGACAAATAAGGTAGTAAGGAAATTTAAGGCAAAGATGAGAACATTTACTGTTCAAAGACATAGAATGTAAAGATCCATAGTGCTGTCAGACACCTTGAGAAATGAGGAACCTAATGTTGAGGAAGAAGGAGAAAGCAAGCATCACGAGAGAGAGAGAGAGAGAGAGAGAGAGAGAGAGAGAGACAGAGAGAGAGACAGAGAGAGAGACAGAGAGAGAGACAGAGAGAGAGACAGAGAGAGAGAGAGAGGTGACAGATCAGAAA